TTTTCTTTTAAATTTTAAAAATAATTTTTTTAATGTGTGATTAGAAGCCTTGTAATATATATATATTTTATATTTTTAATAAAAAATTATAGTTTTTTTTAAATAGAATAAAAATTCTTTTTAGTTTAAATATTTTGACATAAGGTAAGTTGCTTGGTGTTTGGTTTGTTTTATAATTGTTATGGTGTTGGTGTTTCTTAATCCCATCAGTTTTTCTCGGTTTAATTCTGACTAAATTTATTAAGATAGAAATCCAAGGAGATTTGAAATGCTTCACAAACTTATTTTTTTCCTGGTATTTTAAGAGTTTGCGACTCATAAATTGCAAGGAGGAGGGATACAAATTTAGAAATCTAAGGTGATTTTAAAAAAAATCTATTTTTTTTTAGTATTTTTTACTTTCACAACTCATAAACCGTGGAGTAAAAAGTTAAAATGTTCTTGATTATAATCAAGGTTTTTTTCAAGGATATGTGCGGATTTATTATTCTTAGAAATTTTTTTGGATATTTATCACTCCGAGTTTTTTTATCCAAACATTAATAGTGAATAATAATAAATTATTTTCAATAATATTTTGGATATTCATCTTTTAAGGATTTCTTTATCCAAACATTAATGGTTAATAATAGATGAACTCCTCCAAAAATAAGATTATTATATTTTTTTGAAATATTGGTCAATACTCTTTGGAGTTTTATGAACATGTTGTAAAATCCATAAATGCAAGAAAATAATTTTTGTGTTTAAGAAATCCATGCGAAAATATATTTTCAAAACTTTAAATATTTGTTTTTTAGAGAAAATTCAAAAAGATGTTAAGATATTGGCCGTATGCAACACACAAGCAAACTTTTAAATTTTTTTTTATCGAAAACAGAAGCATCATCGTTAAACACAAAAGAAAAATCACAATAACAGCTAAACAATCGTCATATATGTTCTAAGATTTATAATAAGCTTAAAGCAAATAAAAAAAATCAAAGCCAACTTAATGCGTAGACAGCAAGCGCAAAATAAAACTGGGAGCAATCACTAAAAAAAAGGCTGGCTGATTTCTTCTCTAACGATTGTAAGGAAAACAAAAGGAAAGTCCCTAAATATTAAAGTTTCTAAACATGAAAGAAAAACCTTTTTTACATGGGCAACAACTGAACTCAAAAATCATGAAAAAATAATAGGCTAGCGTTGGTTTTTCTAAACAAAAACCAAATATTTCAGAAGGAAGAAAAGCTTTACAACCGAATGCTTAGTATAAAAATAACAAAGGAGGAGAGGTTGGGGCTTATACCTACAGCTCTTATTCGCAAAAAATAAAACCATGGACGAAACAAATCACAGCTCACGTGTGCTTCCTTGAATTCCCTCGCCTGCCTCTCTTGCATGTTCCTTCAAACTGCAACTCCTGTTTGCAGAAAGTAAAACCCAATGCCGAAAGACACAGTTCAAACGTACCTCCTTGGCTGCTGGTAAATGACAGATGAAAATAGAGATGCTGAAATGGACAAAATAACTGGTTTTCTCATCGCCTACCTCTCCTTTCTCCTCTCTTTTGTTTCTTTCACAGTGACTAAAAGATGTAATTGAACCAAAGGCTCTATAGATCAAAGAACAAAAACCCTCTGTTCCCCTATTACCTGTGTTTTTACTAACTCCCTGCCCTTTTATTTTTTCCTTCTTTCTTTTGCTGTGTTCGTTTTTCTTTCTTTTCTCTCCATTTTTTCTCTTATTTTTCTACCCTCCTTTGCTACTCTTTTTCCTCTATTCTCTCCTCTCTTTTCCTCTGTCGCCCTATGTCATTAGAGGGACTTATATATAGTCTAACATATCTCTATTTAGGAAGGATTCAATGCATTAATCCTAGGATGCAAATCCCTACTGATTTGCAGTAAAAAAAACATAAAAGGAAACTGCAATATTCTGATTTTGTGTTGGTGCTTTACGTCTTATTTCTTTCCAGTTTTGGAGGATACTGTAGCTCTTTTCATTCTTTCCATAGGGCCAGCTGCTCCTTTTGAAATGAGGCAACAAAAATGTGATCTTCAGCTTCAACAATCATACGTGATGAGAAAGGCAAATAGTAGAGAAAAAGAGAAAGAAATCAGATGGAGGGTGCAGCTGCAAAGTCTTATTTTCCTTATTCGATGTGGTAAAACTCCTGTCATTTATGATGATTCAACCCCCCTCTCTAGCTTTCAATATCCTTCTTTAATTCAATCCCTCATTTTAACACCTTTTGATTCAGTCCTTGGTCCAGAAAAAAAATCCTTCGAATCAATCCCGCTAACTTGGGCTATATCCTTCACGCGATAAAATTTTCTACCTTCATGTTAGATATTCAAATAGGAATATCTTGAGCTTCTAACATCAAAATCAAGGGATTCAAAAGCCCAAATTCATCTACATATTTAGAAATAAAACTTTGATGAAGAAATTGAAGTGAGATAAAATCTTTTTACAGAACAGAAACTTGCAGTAATTTAATTAGTCAAAAGGGATTTCCGGTTCTAACTCAAAAACTGACGAATGCCAGGAATCCTAACATGACTGAGAGTAGGAATTAAAAACAAAAATAACAAAAACTAAGCCAAAAATAGAAATTGTTAAGTGCAGACTCGGGTCAATATCCTTTTCACAGTAGAATTCTCTACCTTCACGTTAGATATTCAAACAGGAATATCTTGAGCTTTTAATATCGAAATCAAGCGATTCAAAAGTCCAAAATCATCTACACATACGGGACTACAACTTTGATGAACGAGTTGAAGTGAGAAAAAATCATTTGGCAGTAATCTAGTTTCTCAAAAGGAATTTCCACGTCTAACTCAAACAGGATTATCTTGAGCTTCTGATATCAAAATCAAGCGATTCAAAAGCCCAAAATCATCTATGCATCTAGGCCTACAACTTTGATGAAGGAGTCGAAGTGAGAAAAAATCATTTTATAGAATAGAAACTGCTAGTAATCTAGTTGGTCAAGAGGGATTTCGGGGTCTAATTCA